CAGTCTGTGTTGCCACACCACTCTACTCTGTGTCACTGAGCCAGTGAGGTTTTCTGCTGCATTTCCATTGGTCACATGCTGCAAGAGATGCGCTCCAATAGTCAAGTCAGTGCATGCACGTGTAGTGAATGTTTTCCAGCCACTACTTTTACTTTCTGTCAGTGGCCGAGACCGAAGTCTGGACCCTCCCAACAATGCCCTGATAACAGGGGCAGGGCAATAAAAATTGTGATATTGAAACTTGATTAAGTTACCTGCAAACAAAGTGAGCCTGGCAACCCATTGCTGGGCTGGAAAACAAGCAACTCGGCTAGTTCCCAAGGTTGACTTCCATACCAACTGCTCTCGATACAAACCCACAGAGTGTCCCAAGCATGACCAGGGGATCTTTTAGTGTGTCGTTACTGGGGCACTTGATATACAGGTAGCCAGAGCACCTGGAGCTGGCGAACCACCTGAACTTGCTCACCAGGTCACAGAACAAGCCAGAAAAACCCTAGCAGAGGCTTGTGATGCACATCACAGGGTGTCCTCTGGGAGGTTAAATCTTTGGAGTTGGGAGTGCTAGCACACACCTTAGGTCATAGTATCAAGCCAGCAAAGTTGAGGATGTGGTGACTGCATGCATGGGAGGTAAGTCAGCTGCGAGCTGGCAATACACTAAACTTGTTCACTGGGTCTGGTGTACCTAGATGGACTTTAATCCCAAATTGACAGAACATATTATGTCAAGAGGCACAGTGAAAGTATCGCGCCATAGAGGCGCTGGGGTACTGTGCTGGCTGGGAGGAACTTCTGCACACCCACATATCCGTGACCATCCATCACCACATCAGAGGCTAAAACGACTTGCCCCTCATTACGCTAACGAAGGAGAGGTGCCATAAATGGACTGCATTAACGTGTGATTGGCACCAAAATCACCAAAAGGATACTCGGAACGCAATAAGAGACTGGTTCACTAGTCCCACGTCACTCACATAAACATTTTCAATTCTCGGAACACAGCGCACTCGACTAGCACGCACGCACCGCCGACCGCATCAAAAATTAGAGTTTCTAGTTTCCATCGCGGGAGAGAGCCCCGCACTTGGCTCCCTGCCACTACTGACGAGAATTCGGTCGGCGTCGCGGCCCACTCTGCGCACACAACCCCCAGCAACAGAGGAGCGCACCAGGTCAGCAGCTCCCCCATCATCCAAACCTACACACAACACACTCACACGCGCCGAATGCCATAAAAATCACACAACCGTTGCACGTACGACCTACACACCTGCGACCGTATTCAGCGGAGACTGTGTGCACGGGAGAAAAACTTCAAAGAGCAGACTAATCTGTAGTTGCGGCCTCCACACACCAAACACAACAATTTGGTAGTCGTCACACACGCCGCGTGCAAGGGTGCACACGTGCAAATGATGATAATTTTTGGCATCGCTCGTGCATCTACTCCATCATCCAAAAGTCCCTACCACAGTTGACCAAAAAGATATGTGTGCTCACGCATGGAATATTTATGGTTCTGCTACTACGTATGCTTTGGGCTCTTGTTTAGATTTACCAAAGTCTCAAATATACGTAACCGTATGAAAAAGGGCACTATTCTTACAACGCCCTTAAAATTACAGCCTGTTTCAACGTAATTGCTCGTTAATGCAATTATGCATGTATGCAGGCATTCAGCTTGGCGATGCTCCCCTATACAGTTACTAAACACTCCATCTGTATACCAAGCAATTTGCATTACATCACCCCAAAGTTAAAAATAATTTAGAGAGAGGGGGTTTTTGGGGCAAAGGTATAACACGTGTATAAATCAATTACAGTAGGCGAGCTGGTCACGCAAGTACAAGCAAGTGTTAATTATTACTGGCCAATGTTTATTGACTGTCGATATTAACAAAGTGCAAATATGCGTCCAAACTAACCAGTGTTTCTATACAGCTAATTACGACAGTGGACACATTGATACGTAAACATATACGGCTTGGCGTACCCCCAGCTTTAGTAGGCATATAGTGCTACAGTTCCTGTGCACACAAGACCTTTGGAGTTGGGGAGGGCTTGTGTGAAAAGAGTGGGCCTTTTTGGCCCGTGTCGCTCGTTGTGAAATCAAATAAACTGCCATAACGATCGATTATATACCCACAGCGATAATGGGACAGGCTTTAATCGAATCTACCGCCAATTTGTGTGTATGTGTATGTGTATACAGTGGACATGTTGATAGGTGAGCAAACATTATCGAATCAACTGCCCAATGTGTGTGTGTGTGTGTGTGTGTGTGTGTGTGTGTGTGTGTGTGTGTGTGTGTGTGTGTGTGTGTGTGTGTGTGTGCAACTGTACAAACACCGTTTGTCAAATGTCTGCCTCTATGCAGGCATGGAAAACAGAGAGGGAATATTAATATTGTGAAACGACATGAACCCAGTGTTAAAAGTATTCCACTCTCCCTCAATATTCTGCATTGCATGGATACACAAAAGTAGCAAAAATGCTAATGTTATATGTGCACCTGCTTATATTACTAGTAATAATAATTACTACCCTCCGTAAAGACCTCAGGATGGCTGTATAGAGGAAGGCGCTTGAGGTGAATGATTTGGTGACAAATTTGGATCTTTGCAGAGAAACTAAACCAACACACACCCACAAAAAATTGGCAGAGAAAACCGGCTCCCAGACCGCGAGAAATTGCCAAAGTAGGTCGTACGTGTACCTGCAATACACACACTCTCAGTGTATATATATATATATATATATACACTCTGGAATTTCGATCCTGCGACACCAGAGTCTACCGTCTCACAACGTCAACCATTAGCACACACACGGAGGTCCCTTTTTTGTAGTCTAAACTTTCAACAGGACTCTGTGGAATGCAGTTGATTTACAACGTATTCGGTATCTTCCTTCCCGATATCATACCACAAAATGCCCAGTGAAAGCAAATTGCCATACATCGGTATGCAAACACGGACAGGTGGTCTGCCAATTTCCTGAAAAGAAGCCCGCCGATTGGGCTGGCCCCAGACGGAGCCCGTCACCATCAATTAATGATGTAATCCACCGCTTTCCCCGCCTCCTCCCAGCTACACACCCCAACGTAAACAGCTGCCCTCCTTGCACAATCGGTCCATTATATTATGTGGAAAATTAAACAGTGCTCCAATACTACACTCTGTAGCACACATACATCAACTCTTCACCATTCACCAAGCGTGAGATCGGGAGTGAGATGCGTGGAATAATTATTCCGGTGAAGAAAGATATATCCGCGCCAACGCTTACACGCTTACATTACTCAAATTCACTATGTATTAGCATTGTCCCAAGCATTGTCCCAAAATGTGGGTTTCACCTGATTTGCTCATCTTTGGCTGATTATTGTACACACTGTGTATGATATGTACATGAGCACCACTGCATGGTTTCCGCCTTGGGGGCAGTGGCGGTCCAGCGTCGCTAAGGCGGAGGGAGGGTGTGGGGCGAGTCGCTGCATCAAACGCCGCAGAAGAAAAACATGTGTACAGCAAGAAGATTTCGCATCGTTAATGAGATCCATGATTGCACACACAGGTACAAGTTTAGGCAATTAGCGTGTCATGACATCGTCCCAATTAGACTGGTTACACCGTGAGGCGATTTCGCTGCTGAATAGGAAACCACGCAAATCGCATCACTTGTGTCTCCAACAAATGCCCTACTGATTTCTGTCACCGTTGCACATCCCATCACACATGCATGCACAGTTTCCATAAAACAAACAGTTTGCAACAGCACGCCAACGGTCGGTTTCCATAACTGCTGTCAATCATGCCTTACATGGACAGGTGGCCATTCCAGTGGGAGAGTGGGATTAGGAGTAATCCACTTATCCCAGGTCAGCCCTCCCACACATCTGCTGCACGCTGCACACACGACTTTGTTATATATCCTCTCTCCGTTGAGAGGCTCTCTCCGCCCTTCCCTTCGCCTTCCTCCCTTCTTCCCGGCCTCTTCCCCACTTAACATCTCTCTCCTTCTCCCTCCTTCCTCACTCCTATTTTCTCTCATAATTATGCTGCATGCTGCAAACCACGCAGTTTCTATCCTTCTCCTCCTCTACATTTCAAAACCTCCTTTTCTCTCTCATTCTATGTTTCTCTCCCTCTCTCTCTCTCCCACCTTTTGTCACTCTTTCTCGGTGCAAGACGTGTCGTGAAACATGGACACATCGGATTGGAATCCACAGAAGACCACACTAACATAGATCATGGCAAGACCTCCTCATAGTAGTGCATCATTCAGCATGGCTTTCCAAACAGGATGTGCATATATACGCCACTACAATACAGCTTCTCACAAATAGTGCACAGCAGACATACATGGGATGGACGCACACACAACACTACGTTTACTCCACGAGCAGCACATTGACAGTTTAGCATGTACAAATAGGGGAAAATGAGCGAAACGAAAACAAACTACACAGAGCTTTGTTGATGGGAAAGAAGGAGAGAGAGAGGGAGAGCTCACCGCTCTGGCTCTGCGGGCCGGAGGAGAAGGCCTTCTTGAAAGGATCCTGCGATGGCAAGAAGTGGGCGGCTAAATAAAACACCAGTGCATTACACACATAGGACTGTACACACTGACACTAAGCAGGGCAACAGGCAACAACTAGGTAACTACTGTGCACAAACACATGTGTTAGAGCAACAGAAAAAGGAGTCACGTACACAGCGACGCTAATGAGCGTAAATTAAAATGTTGACAACACAAGCGCTGCAGGGAGTCACACTCATGTCCATTTCTGATCAGGCCATGCAAACAGACTCATCTAGAGTGAGTGGGTGTTGCGTACACTGCTACAGGTGTATGTGTGTGCATGTTGGTAGCAGTGTCAAGAAGCTAATTTTCAGTTTTTTCATTGACGAATATATTATTATAGTAAAAAAAAGTTGCTTATGTTAAACCGTACAAAAAAGGTTTTTGTGAATGATTATTCGGCAGACATTGGTGCATTACACAACAGTTTACTTCAGACAGTTGCATGGGTAAATCAGACATTCTTAGAGGAAAGGCACTTTAGTCCATTCTACGTATATTATACTACATGTCGTGTAGTGCATATTATGTATGATCAGGGGATTAACACGCCATAGCAACGGGCCGGTGCAGCTGTTTGATCTTGTAATATCTGGAGTAATAACCCACTTCAATAAAAAAGCGTGTTGGCCCACACGTTTTTGCTTTCACTGTTACCCGGAAATTACAGCTCACGGCTCGGGACAAGAAAGCATAAGCTCGACTCACCAGCTCATGGCCGAAGAGGAAAAGGAACGGCAATCCTTTCGTCTTCGTCAACACCCCAATTGATGCGCACCATAACAACCCCGCGACCTAGAGCGCATGCGCGAAACCGTAGAGATTGAGGTATAATATAGCTTGCTAAAAATGTTATAAAAAGAGTGTGATTGATTGAGGGGCTGTCTATATAGCTATGTAGAAGGAGATGCGGGTGAGGGGAGTCCACAGGGAGGTAAAGCAAGGAGAGCAGTCGAGTGCTTTGCAAACAGACACAACGACATCTCCTGTGTGGACAGGTGAGACTGAGACACTGGCAGACGGTGGGGATTAAATATTTTTACCTTACAAACTCCTCCAATACAACAGCACCTTCCAGTAGATCATTATGGGCATACTGAGGGGGAGGGGAGAAGACTAACACACAGGGTCCACATTATAATATTATACCACACTTGGGACACCAGTGATGACCATAAGAATTACTTTCCAGCCGAGAAAATGCTCACGATTAAGTGCAAATTAGATAAACATTTGTATATACATTACTTTGTTTCGAAACAAGAAAAAATTTCTCAAACCACAAGGTTTGTGGAGATGGTATAACACAAGAACTTGCTAAAAGTGAAAAATGCCTCTCTTGATTACGGACCTGAGGAGGTCGGAAGTCTCCTGGCCGACCATTCTCTTCCTGACTTCTCTGAGGTTGAACTGGAAGCCAGGAGAGCGCTCCGCGTGGACCACCAGCTCACTGTTCACCTGCACACACACACACACAGAGAGAGACTGTATAACATACAAACAACGCTGCTGCTTGGACGTGCCTTTCGCGTACATATTCTCCCTCTTTGAAAGCTTGGCTCCAAGGTGAATAAACATCTCCCACCATGGTGTGTGCAACCTCAGTATATAGAGTGTGCAATCTCCATTCACCACCTTTATAATTATGTAGAGTGTATCTTTCTGTTACTTTTGTTTCGAAACAAGCTGACTCTCCAGAACGTAGAAATACACACTCACACTGATAAACATATCCTCGTAGGTTTCCCCTTAGTTTCTCAATTAGAAAATATATACGTTTGCTATATTATTATATATAAAGGTACACATGTACCTTCTTCAGTACAGAGAAGACAGAGTTGTGGGGGGAGCTGTCGGGGAAGAAGAGACGATCAATACGAGGATGAGAGAAAGCCGCAAGTTGAGAGAGAACGGACGTCAGCATCAAGTTCACCTCGTACGACTACAGCAGAGAAAAGAGAATATCAGATAGTATTATGTACAATACCGAACATCACTACACTCTTCTTTATTGTCCAAGATCTCCACACACATGTAAGCATACAGGAATAGAGAACACATTTGCACCTTGATTTTAGAACAATGCATCTCTCAATAGAACATCATTGGACGTTTGCATTTTGAAGGCAGGGCTGATGATATATACCTGGTCTAAGAGTCTCTCCAGTTTGGAGAGCAGAGCAGGTACGAGTGGTCCCTCTCCTCTCCCCGTTCTCCCCCAGCTCTCCGTCTCACGGTCCGCGATGGTGTGTGGTGGTGGGGGAAGGGACTCTCTGGCACATCCTGTGATGTTACTGCCTCGGGTGAAGACCACACCCCTCCAATACCTGTCATCTCCTCCTCCTCCTCCGTCCTGGTCCCAGGACTGAGCCAATATCTAACTTAATACTGCCACAACCAAACATCAATTAAAAACAGTGTACGAGAGGACCTAGGGCATCAATTCCACATGCTGTTTTCTACTTGACTTGTTCCCAATGGCCTTATAATATAATATACTCATACATGTACAATAATAAGACCTTTTTCTATGAGACGTCTCACCTGTTTGTGGGCTTCAATTAGATAGTCCTCAACAACAGTTTCTCTGTCACCACCTCTGCAGACAGGAGATCCGCAGGTACCAGGGATAGTAGCTGGGATGGGAGAGAGAGAGGAGGAGGAGAGGGGGGAGAGGGGGGAGAGGAGGAGAGAGAGGAGGAGAGAGAGGAGGAGGGAGAGGAGGAGAGGGGGAGGAGGAGGGAGGGGAGGAGAGGAGAGAGGGGACAGAGACGGAGAGGGTGGGAAAAGAGAGCGAGAAAGAGGGACGAGAGGGCGTGAGGTGAGCGAGAAGGGAAAACACACATCAGATGGTGGGCACACACAGAGGAAGAGGATTAAAGGAAGGGAATAGAAAAGCAAACAAAACAAGCCACCAGACACAGGATGTAGAACATGGTGCTTTCATTGAGAAAGAGGACCACAGCATCTGGACTTCAGTTTACTTTCAGTCTCTCTCTGCTCCACTACTTTGTGTGTGTGTGTGTGTGTTTGTGGTGGTTTGCACCGACCTATTGATCCAGTGCTCCAGTTGTTTCTCTGCCGTGCCAGGCTGCTGCCAGTTGTGGTGCTGTCTGGGGCAGTGGGTGTGGTGGCTGCGAATGCGTGGGAGTGTGGGAGACGGGGAGTTTGGGAGCCTTGGGAGAGTCGGGAGTGTGGGGAGTTGGGATTGTTGGGGAGGTTTGTGATGACCGAGGAGGAGAGGTGGTGTCTCCAGTTTGTCATGCTGGTAGTGGCGGGAGATCCATCGAACACCAATTCACGCAGGAAGACGGGGGCGAGGGGGCACTCTAAGAGAGAGTTTATCAATGCAGAGTAGCTTGACACACCTGCAGTCACAACGGAGAATATGCACACATACAGTTCACACCAACATGAATGGTGGCCTACTATGAAATGTTACAGCAATAAAGAGAGGTACGAGGGAAATACGTAGGGTTAGTGAGATAAAAGTACGATAGTACGACCGACGAGATGAACGAGATACACTGGAGCTTCAGAATATTATAAAAAGGAGTGGAACAAATCACCAACAAAATGTGTGCAAGGATGCAGTGGGATATTTGCTCCTTTGTGTGCACCCTTAAAACTCCTAACTACAACAATTATACAGACACTCTGTTAGAGAGACTAACATCGTCACTGGATGATCAATCCTCTGAACCATGCGCTGTCTCAGTCAGAAAAATACTTTCTCGGCTCCTTCCACCCCCACTCCCTGCACTCCCAAACCTCCCCTCCTCCTCCCTTCCTCTCCTCCTCCTGTCCCAGGACACACAGTACAAACTCTGCAGTGGAGACAAACACACACATATACTTACAGAAGATCTCACGTTGACCTACAAATGGTATTAGGTCAAACTCAAAATCCCGGGAAACTGCAAGTTACTGCAACCATTTGCACAACACCCCAACATGTGTGATACAACAAAAATAATGTTTGCAGCAGCAGTAGTGATGGTGAGTTCACCTGAGAGCAAACTCTCGTCTGCTTGTGAACTGGATCGAGCGTGACAGAACAGACGTGCTTGAGTATAAGACGTCGCCTCAGTCTGGCCAGTGGGAGAGAAAAAAGAGACAGTGAGAAATCAGACATCATAGTCTTTACTAACACCCTTTGCATTTCTCACACTCTTTCTAAAAATACTCTGAGGGAGTCGGCAGCAAATGTGCATTTAATGTAGTGAAACTGGCCTCAAGAAACAAATGCCCCTGCCAAAACCTTTACTTTCGTGGAGAGCTCCACATTAACTTCACACAAGTCGTACAGGTGAGTTCTCACTACGAAGTAAGTACTTTCTTTCTCTGTCTTTTTCTCTAAGTATGTACATACGTACACAGATTTTTGTACTCTCTCACACTCCATTTCTATCAGGCATACAATTATAATGTGTTGTAACTCACACTCTGAGGATGCGAGGCATGAGAGAGGCCTCCAGCAGATAGCTCCTGAGACGGCAGTGCACAGGCTGTAGAGTGGCGCCGCTGCAGAGACCACGGCCTGCTCCACGTAGTCCAGCCAGGAAGAGGTAGCGCTCCACGTGCCACAGACCGTAGCCAGACGGAGAGTGGTCCACTGTTCTGCTCCTACTGGATAGTCCACTCTAGAGAGAATATATACTACCAACTGTATCTTATTGATGCAGAGAGGTGGATGAAAACACAGTGTAATACACACTTCTATATTTTATCTTTTGTCCTCTCTATGTAGTAGCGTCTCTCACGACCTACACAGTAAAATGATACTTCTGAGAGGAAAAGAAACCATTTCCCACATTCAAGGCCCAAACTATTAAAGCACATGTTCATGCACGGGGACCTGATTTTGGAAATTTTCTTCTGTTATACATAATATGGTTAGTTGCTTTGGTGATACACTGTTATATAACCTACCCCCAGCCGGTGTTGCAGCCAACGATGGACGTGTGTGCTGGAACAGCTGAGAGTCGGTAGTGATCAGTGGCTGAATTAGTGGTACTGCAGCTATGCTGGCCAGTTAGGGACAGGGACGCTGTGAGGACGCCAGGACCCGTGCCACGCCTCTGTGCGCAGCGACACGCAGCTCAAGCAGCGCACTCATATGCCTTACATTGCCACCATGCTGTCTTGTGGTTCACCAGACGTGCAGAGCCTCCGCCACTAGAACACTGTCTTTGTGGGGACCGGAGGAGAACTGGTGGATGGAAGATTGGGAGCATTGTTTGGGGAGACGACGAAACAGAGGAGAGGGAGGGGAGAGAGGGGACTCTTGACGGGGAGGTCGACGAGGAGGAAATCGGCAAGGCGGGTGTCGTCGTGGACTTGAGAAAGATTGTGCGGAGGAACTGGATCTCCATGAGGGCCAAGAGGGCTCTGGGGGTGGAGACACACAGCTGGATCAGCTTCTGGGGGGCCAGAGATTGAGGGAGAGGAGGAGGGTTGAGGAGGAACAAGCCGAAAAAAGATAACAACATTCATAGCATAATGCAGAGTTACATTACATAACTTTACTGGTTGATTGAACTGAATCAGCAGTTAGGGGCTTATAAACTTGCTTGAATGTGTCGAGTGAAGAAGAGCACACACATTAAGGTGGTCAGGATGTCTCGCCACGAGATGAGCCAGGAGGTAATCACACTGACTGGACAGGCTGGTGGACACTGACGTGAGCAGGAGAAGGGCTGCTCCATCCGTCCCAACATGTGTATGAGGAACATGAGGACCTCCTGACGAATACCGATGGATACTGTAGTGATGATATACATGCGGTTGTAGGGATAGGAGGGGAAAGAGAGAGAAGAGAGTAGAGAAATCAGTTCCACAAGTGCAATTCTGTTTTAGTGTTCTCCTGTACAAAGTTTTATAAACACTTTGTTGTAGAGTTCTACTGAGCTATTCGGGCTGGCTTTTGCAACATGCTAAGCTGCTTAGAGTCCCGCATTGTGACCTGTTAGGGTGTATGTAGCTCACTCTTTCTCTGCATGTGGGTTTGGGTCCCACGCAGGACAGTCATTCATTGGTGTCCTGGGGTGTCGTTGAGTGCTTGCCTTTGCATGTGCCTTGCCTTCACAACAGGTTTCGTAGTAGTATGGGATAAAGCGAGGGGAAGTTGAGGTGGGAGGTTGTGAGGATGTGAAGAACCTCTGAGAGGAGAAATCAGAGAAGCATGCAGACTAGGGAGTCGGGGGGGGATAAAGGTGTTACAAAACAGGAGGTGTTTGCTGCATACACATAGGCAGTAGTTGATGACTTCAGCTCAAGAGAACCCAGGGAGCTACCCCTGTACGACTTATATCTCACTCATTCAAATGCTGTTTATCCGCACTCTGACAACATCCGGACAACACGAGTAAAGGAAGTGACACCATTTGCTATATTTATCGAAACACCCCATATTATCACGGATTCCATAGTACGCAATGAGCAGGAACGCATACTCATACAATTGTGGGCATATGTATATCTTTTGAGAGCTGCAGGCATGGATGGGTGTACAGCTCACTCTAATCTCAAATATTATGTCTGTATTTGTACTATATATGAGGACTTACGTCATTCTTGCATGGTATGTAGAGAGTGTCCAGTATTCTGTGTCTGAGCATGAACTCCAGGCAAAGCCCCTACACACACACCAGGGGGAGGAGGGGAAGGAGAGGAAGAGAGGGTGGCAGGCACAGGGTGGGAGTAAGGGGGAAGGAGGAAGGATGGGAGGTGGAGTAGGGGGAAGGAAGAAGAATGGGAGGTGGGGGTAGGGGGAAGGAGGAAGAATGGGAGGTGGGGGTAGGGGGGAGGAGAGAGGGTTGGAGTAAAAAAAGGTGGGGAAGGAGAGAGCAAATCAAAGCTCCCACTCCGTGACAGTTAGCGTCCCACCATTGTGCCGTGGTCACGCGAGTCTTTCTGAGAGTCCTCTTCACACAGCAGCTCTGCCATGGCTCCCAGGTGGTGGGGGATGTCCGTCTCCGACACACTCCCACCTGCATCTGTTGCAATTTCGGTACGAGCATTGAGCACTACTGAAGTCAAACCAGTCACAATGGGTGGCTACTACACATGGGCATTGGGTCGGTTTGATAGAGGTCTGAAAGAACATAAGGACACACTTGATTCAAATCTGAGACTCGTGACCACACGTGGGGACTTGGCCACCATGTGTTTGACCTGTATTTAGCTACACATACACAATTCCCCACGGAATACAGTACCAGAAGTGGCTATAGAGTCAGTGATGGCTCGCCAGTGAGTTGTGAAATCCTCCGGCCTTATCTGCTGAGGTCCAAACTATATCGGGGAAACAAGCAGGAGGAGAATTCGAAAAGGACGCGTACCGATTCTAATTGTTGCCCACCTACCCCGACAACTTCAGCCACCAAAGCCGTGAATCTGCTGAACATGGCTCCGCTTACGTCAGTTCTTCGGCACAAACACAATATTCACACGCTGTCAATCGCGTCTTTACCACTCTAGCTCTCCAAATAATCCAGCTTTTCAAAGAAATTGAATGAACGAAGACTCCTCCAATCCCTAAGCGCGCACGCGCAGTGTAAGCGCAAAATGTTATGCTTGTGCGCTTAATTTGCCAGAATATAATATGCGCATGCCCGCGCAGCTGCTGGTGGATCGACCTTCTGCGCGTGCGTGTAGACACGTGTGTTCCTTGAGGCGCTCGTCTTGGAGGCTGGTGTCCTTCACCGCGTACCGTTACCCGTTTTTCCGTGGATTTTGCAGGAGGAGAGCAAGGAATGGAGAGAAGTGCTACTTTCAACACAACATCTTTTGCTGAGGGTCGGTTTCGCCGAGCGTACAAAGGACGCTGGACAGCTCCGGTGAGCGATGCAGGTCGCGTCTGCGTTGTGAAAGAAATGAAGGACAACTACAGCTGGAACGAAGTGGACTGGAACGACACTGTAAAGATAAACGAGCGAGCCAAGGACCTCGCTGCACGTTTCACCAGCAGGACCCCAGCGGTGTACGTAATGCGAGTGACGAACGCACCTTGTCCTCACACCAGACCCAAGTTGCACGAGTACGTGACGTGCGAGGACTACATACCGGGGCCGTTCAAGAAGTGGTGGCAACAACTACGGCTACATCAGCGATGAATGCACAATTCTTCCAGCTTTTATGCACTGGTCGTGGGCACGCAGTATGGGAGAAGAGATGGTATCAGATCTTCAGGGCGTTCGAAACGGCAGTGCTTACACTCTCACTGATCCAGCAATGCTGTCGCTCTCTGGGACCTACGGAGTTACCGACATGGGAGTGGAAGGGATGGCAATGTTCTTTCTCGAGCACAACTGTGACAAGTATTGTCAGATGCTGCCCAAGCCAACGCTGGCTCACTTTTAACCAGATTGTCCCCCAGCAGTACATCTGGGCAGCTGAGACCCTCCTGGGGCAAGTTCAGAGCGCTACGACTTATTCCTTTGAGCTGAAATTCCCTCAAGTTATTCGTGGGCGAGTGATCGAGAGGTTTCGACAGATAGCGCAAAGTTGAGTCACTAACAGTGGTTTCACCTCAAGTACATTTATTCGACAACAAACTCATTTTCTCTAACCACAAACTTTGCTGCGCATAATTATAATCATGGATGGAAGTTTTATCAATAAATACGGTAAAGTTGTGAAGTGAGGGGAGGCTGCCATGTACTGTATTAATTGTGTATGTATATGCAGAGGAAAGCATGGCTTGCATGGCTACAACACAGAGTCACTCTTCTTGCGAGAGAACGGGTTCTTGAATGGCAGTCCGTGAGACCACCGTCTCTTTGATCCCTCTCCATTATGACCACTGGACAGAGAGAGAGAGAAAAAGATGAGATAATATAGAATATTTTGATAATGCTCTCACTTTCACTGCATGCCGCTTCCAGAAACTGCCTTCACTAGATTCTTCTTCTTTCCTCCACTGGTACCCACAATTCACTGTTAGCAAGATCATCCTAATGTACAATCTATTGGATGCAATATGTGATATACCTCTGGAATGTGGATTTTTTTTTGGGATAGGAGAGGTGATTAAGGTGAGCTCTTGTCCGTTTGGCTTGCTTCCACATTTGGGAGGAAGTTCCCTGCGTAATGTGTTTATGTAGTTTTTTGGCTGAAAATTTAGTGACAATTGGGTTCAGTTGGTCAAATTTACCAACCCATTTGAGGAACATTTACTGGAGCGGCCAAATTGGCAGTGATCATACCATTTGATTTCCTTAATTTGTTGGCTCTCTATCTGTTACTGCTGTAGTTGCTCTCTCC